TCTCAGCACCACATCACACTTATTCTAAATCAACCACAAAATTAGAAGTAAAACACACCTCAGCAAATGGAAAAGAACAGAAATCATAACAAACAGTCTCTCAGACAGCAGCGCAATCAAATTAGAATCAGGATTAAGAAACTCACACAAAACCACACAACTACATGGAAACTAACAACCTGCTTCTGAACGACTACTGGGCAAAGAACAAAACTAAGGAAAAAATAAAGAAGTTCTTTGAAATCAATGAGAACAAAGAGACAAACATGTCAGAATCTCTGGGATACATTTAAAGCAGTATGTAGAGGGGAACTTATAGCACTAAATGCCCACAAGAGAAAACAGGGAAGATCTAAAATTGACACTCTACTATCACAATGAAAAGAACTAGAGAAGCAAGGGCAAACAAATTCAAAAGCTGGCAAAAGACAAGAAATAACTAAGATCAGAGCAGAACTGAAGGAGATAGAGACGTGAAAAACCGTTCAAAAAATCAATGAATCCAGGAGCTGGTTTTGTGAAAAAATCAACAAAATAGACCACAAGCCAGACTAATAAAGAAGAAAAGAGAGGAGAATCCCATAGATGCAATAAAAAATGATAAAGGAGCCATCATCACTGATTCAACAGAAATACAAACTACCATCAGAGGATGCTATAAACACCTCTACACAAATAAACTAGAAAATATAGAAGAAATTGATAAATTCCTGGACACATACACTCTCCCAAGTCTAAACAAGGAACAACTCGAATCTCTGAATGGACCAATAACAAGTTCTGAAATTGAGGAAGTAATTAATAGCCTACCAACAAAAAAAGTCCAGGACCAGACATATTCACAGCCAAGTTCTACCAGAGGTACAAAGAGGAGCTGGTACCATTCCTCCTGAAATGATTTCAAACAATAGAAAAAGAGGGAATCCTCCCTAACTCATGAGGCCAGCATCATCCTGACACCAAAACCTGCCATAGACACAATCCAAAAAGGAAATTTCAGGCCAATATCCCTGATGAACATCTATGCAAAAATCCTCAATAAAATACTGGCAAACTGAATTCAGCAGCACATCCAAAAGTTTATCCATTACGATCAAGTCGGCTTCATCACTGGGATGCAAGTCTTGCTCAACATATGCAAATCAATAAATGTAATTCATCACATAAACAGAACCAATGATAAAAACCACAATTATCTCAATAGATGCAGAAAAGGCTTTTGACAAAATTCAACATCCCTTCATGCTAAAAACTCTCAATGAACTAGGTATTGATGGAATGTATCTCAAAATAATAAGAGCTATTTATGACAAACCCACAGCCAATATTATACTGAATGGGCAAAAACTGGAAGCATTCCCTTTGAAAACTGGCACAAGACAAGGATGCCCTTTCACCACTCCTATTCAACATGGTATTGGAAGTTCTGACCAGGGCAATCCGGCAAGAAAAAGAAATAAAGGTATTCAAATAGGAAAAGACGAAGTCAAATTATCTCTGTTTGCAGATGACATGATTGTATATTAAGAAAACTCCATTGTTTCAGCCTCAAATTTCCTTAAGCTGATAAGCAACTTCAGCAAAGTCTCAGGATACAAAATCAATGTGCAAAACCCACAGGCATTCCTATACACCAATAACAGAGAAACAGAGAACAAAATCACAAGTGAACTCCCATTCACAATTGCTACAAAGAAAATTAAATACCTAGGAATACAACTTACAAGGGATGTGAAGGACCTCTTCAAGAAGAACTACAAACCACTGCTCAAGGAAATAAGAGACGACACAAACAAATGGAAAAACATTCCATGCTCATGAACCGGAAGAATCAATATTGTGAAAATGGCCATACTGCCCAAAGTAATTTAACGATTCAATGCTATCCCCATCAAGCTATCATTGACTTTCCTCATGAATTAGAAAAAACTACTTTAAATTTCATGTGAACCAAAAAAGAGCCTGCATAGCCAAGACAATCCTAAGCAAAAAGAACGAAGCTGGAGGCATTACCCTACCTGACTTCAAACTATAGTACAAGGCTACAGTAACCAAAACAGCATGGTATTTGTACCAAAACAGATAAATAGATCAATGGAACAGAACAGAGGCCTCAGAAATAACAACACACATCTACAACCATCTGATCTTTGCCAAACATAACAAAAACAAGCAATAGGGAAAGGATTTCCTATTTAATAAATGATATTGAGAAAAGTGGCTAGCCATATGCAGAACACTGAAATTGGACCCCTTCCTTATACCTTATTCAAAAATTAACTCAAGATGGATTAAAAACTTAACCATAATGCCTAAAACCATAAAAACTCTAGAAGAAAATGTAGGCAATACTATTCAAGACTTAGGCATAGGCAAAGGCTTCATGACTAAAACACCAAAAGCAATGGCAACAAAAGCTAAAATTGACAAATGAGATCTAATTAAATGAAAGAGCTTCTGCACAGCAAAAGAAACCATCATCAGAGTGAAGAGGCAACCTATGGAATGGGAGAAAATTTTTGCAATCTGTCCATCTGACAAAGGGCTAATATCCAGAATCTACAAAGAACTTAAACAAATTGACAAGAAAAAAACACAACCCCACCAAAAAGTGGGCGAAGGATGTGAACAGACACTTCTCAAAAGAAGAAATGTATGAGGCCAACAAACATATGAATAAAAGCTCATCATCACCACTGGTCATTAGAGCAATGCAAATCAAAACCTCAGTGAGATACCATCTCATGCTAGTTAGAATGATGATCATTAAAAAGTCAGGTAACAACTGATGCTGGAGAGGATGTGGAGAAACAGGAATATTTTACACTGTTGCAGGGAGTGTAAATTAGTTCAACCATTGTGGAAGACAGTGTGGCGATTCCTTAAGGATCTAGAACCAGAAATAGCATTTGACCCAGCAATCTCCTTACTAGGTTTATACCCAAAGGATTATAAATCATTCTACTTTAAAGATGCTTGCACACATATGTTTATTGAGGTACTATTCACAATAGCAAAGACTTGGAACCAACCCAAATGCCCATCAATGATAGACTAGATAAAGAAAATGTGGCACATATACACCATGGAATGCTATGCAGCCATAAAAAAGGATGAGTTCCTGTCCTTTGTAGGGACGTAGATGAAGCTGGAAACCATCATTCTCAGCAAACTAACACAGGAACAGAAAACCAAAAACTACATGTTCTCACTCATAAGTGGGCATTGAACAATGAGAATACATGGACACATGGAGGGGACCATTACACACTGGGGCCTGTTGTGGGGTTGAGGGATAGGGGAGGGATAGCATTAGGAGAAATACCTAATGTAGATTACGGGGTGATGGATGCAGCAAACCACCATGGCACGTGTATGCCTTTGTAACAAACTTGCATGTTCTGCACATGTACCTCAGAACTTGAAGTATAAAAATAATAATAAAAGAAATTAAAGAACATAGTAAACTCAGCTATGATGACAGAAATCAGAATCATTGCCATGGGGGTGGGATGTCAGGTGAGCAGAGCCCCGAAATAACCTCCCTCAGTGCTAGAAACATTCTATAGCTCAATCCGTGTGTACACCCAGTGGAAAATTATCACACTGTACATTTGATATTAGGGTCCTTTTTCTTTTCTTAACAATATTCCTTAGGAATCTTTTCATGAAAGACACACACTAACTGTCTCGGTCTTTAAAATGGCCGATGAGTTTTCGCGGCCTGGAAGCTCTTCTATGTATCTAACCAGCCCTCCATCAATTTACTTTACAGGTTGATTTCTTCCCCAGCATTCTTGCTGTTGGTTTCTATTCTGTGCTTCATGGAGGCAAAGGGAGGAAAAGGGACCAGGATTGTGTTTGAGTCCCTTTCCTTGTGTCGTCTTGGGGTCTGAGCCAATTAATTTCTCTGAGCTTCAGTTTCTTCATCTGTAAAATGGATTTTGAAATACACTGAAAAGTCTTACAAAAAAGAAGCAATGTGGCTCTGGTAGAATCAAGGTGGGAAATGCTGTGATAAACAAAGCTGAGCGGACTTCTTTTCTGTAGGACTTCTCAGAGCCCGCCTTACGTGAATGAGCAGCGTCAGTCTCCAGGAAGGGATGAAGGTATGCAGTCTTCCCCAAGCCACAGAATTCTCTAAAGAATGTTTCTAAAAGGAGCATGCCTGGGCTTTGATGTCTGTGGAACACATTTTAGAAAAAGCTGCAGCATGACCGGTGCCGGTGAAGGCCCGTTATATACTACAAGGTCCAGCATACAGGTGATGCTTGGTGTATGTACAGTAAATGAATGAGTGAGCAAGTCTTTTGAAAACAGAGGTCATTCATTCATTTCTCTGCTTAAAACCCTTAAACAGCTTCTTCTTATCCTCAGAATAAACCCTTACTCAGGGTTCTCATAGCAGATGAACCTGGTTTCAAGGGGTACTAAAATCAGACAGATGTGTTTTCAAATCCTGGTATGTCTCAGCTGTATGGTCTTTTTGCCTTTCTGGGCCTCAGTTTACCCTCTGTGAATGAGGTTGACAGCATCTAAGAGATGGGTCGTGGAAGCACCAGGCTGCATGCAGCAAGTGTTAATGTTTTCCATTTTGACGAAATCCCACATGAGGTTCGAATTTCAGCCCTGAGAATGAATCCTCCAGGAGCTCTCCAATTCAAGAGTATTATCCTATTTACTTCAGTTCATTCATTCATTAAGCATCTATTAAGCACCAAGCACCATGCTAGGCACTGGGGATTCAGCAGGAAACTAAACAAAAAGTCCATTTCTCCTGGAACACACTTTCTACTGGCAGTGCTGAGAATTTAATAAGACAGTGTCAGTAACAGCCCCGGCAAGAAGAGCCCAAGCCCTTAAGCTGTGTTCCACCAAAGTAGGATCCAGGGACAGTTGGGTGAAGGTTCATTCCGGGCTTTGGGGGCCTTACCGTCTGTCCAGAGTGGCAAAAGGAGCCCAGATGGGAGGAAAACAGCATGTACCTGGCCTGGCCTCACCTGCTTCTTGTCCTCACAGTGGCTGCCCCTTCTCCGTTCAAGCTGCTGGGCTTCCACCTGCTCTGCTGCCACCTGCCTCCTGCTGCCCACTTGCTGGGTCTCCATAGCCTCAGATCTGGCGACTTGGGTGGACCAAGGTCCCCTCACTCAACAGGCAGAAAGGCACCCTTCCCCCCTCCCCCCACCTGTGGTCACCAAGCATCCCTCAAGCATTGAGTTCTGATGTCACAGAAGGTTGGGACAGCATGGTTCCCACATTCCCACCATCCTGATTTTTAGTCCTTTCCCTCACTTTTCTCATATGAACGTAGAAAACAAAGGTCAGGAAGAAATCCATCAAAAGATTGTTTCAGGATGATGATTTTTCTGATCCTTTTCTTCTATATTTGCAAATTTTTAATAAAAATGCTAATTATAAAGTATAAAAAACCATAGGTTGGGTGCAGTGGCTCACACCTGTAATCAATTCCTAGCACTTTGGGAGGCTGAGGCTGGAGGATTGCTTTAATCCAGAAGTTCAAGATCAGTCTGGGCAACATGGTGAGACCATGTCTCTATTTTAAAAAATTACAAAAAAAGCTATTTATGACAGAAAAATGTATGGAAATAATTGTAGATTTACATGCAATTGTAAGAAACAATATAGAGGCCGGGCGCGGTAGCTCACACCTGTAATCCCAGCACTTTGAGGGTCCAAGATGGGTGAATCATGAGGTCAGGATCACCACCCTGGCTAATATGGTGAAACTCTGTCTCTACTAAAAATACAAAAAACCAAAAAAAAAAAAAAAAGAAAAGAAAAAGAAATTAGCTGGGTGTGGTGGTGTGTGCCTGTAGTCCCAGCTACTCAGGAGGCTGAGGAATCACTTGAACCTGGGAGGTGGAGGTTGTAGTGAGCTGATATTGCGCCACGGCACTCCAGCCTGGGCAACAGAGTGAGATTCTGTCTTAAAAACAGACAAACAAACAAACATAATACAGGGAGATCCTGTGTACTGTCTACGAAGCTTCCCCCCAAGGTACAGTAATAGCCTGCATCACTGCAGTAGGAGATCACAGCCTGGATATGGACACTGATACACTCTACCAATCTTAAGCAAACTTTCCCAGTGTTACTTGTTCTCATTTGTTTGTGTGTGTGTTTAAAGAATTTTGTGTCGGGTTGTGTACTTAGGACTACAGTCAAGATACAGAAGAATTTCAAAACTACTAGAGACTTTGTGCTGCTCCGTGATGGCTGTTGCCTCCCAATCCCGCCCACATTGTTCCTAACTCCTGGAAACCACTTATCTGCTCCCTCTTTCTAAAGTTTGTTTATTCCAAATGCCACATAAATGGAATGAAATAACATTTAACCTTTGGGGATTGGCTTTGAAAAAAAAAGCATGGTATAATTTCCTAGAAATTAATCCAATACGTTGCACATATCAGTAGTTCATTCCTTTTGAGTCTTGAGTAGTATTTTCTGATATGTGTATGCCGTACTGAAGGACATGTTCCAAACATGATCAAAACCTGGCTGCCTCCCGTTTTTGACTCTTGTGAGTAAAGGTGACGTGAACATTGTTGTTCATTTCTCTGGGATAAATGCCTGAGAGTGCAATTGCTGGGCTATAACATCATGGCATGATAGTTTTATAAGGGATTGTCAAACTTCCACAATGGCTGTGCCATTGTACATTCTCATTAACAATGTATGCGTGATTTGGTTTCTCCTCATCCCCACCAATATCTGTTTTCACTATTTTTTAATTTAACCATTTTGATAGATGTTTAGTGACATCTCATTTTGGTTTTAATATGTATTTCCCTGATAGCTAATGATATTATGATGTTGAACATCTTTTTTTTAAAAAAAATTATTAGGCTTTTTTTTTTTTTTTTGGTGGAGACAGTGTCTTGCTATGTTTCCCAGGGTGGTCTTGAACTTCTGGCCTCAAGCAATCCTCCCACCTCAGGCTCCCAAAGTGCTGGGATTACAGGAGTGAGCCACCATGCCCTGCCTGAACATCTTTTCATATGCTTGCTTGCCGTCTGCATCTCTTCCTCAGTGGAATATCTGCTCCTGTCTTTTGCCCATTTACTAATTGGGTTGGTTTTGCTACAGTTGAGTTTTGAGAGAGTTATTTGCTCATTTTAGATACTAGTCCTTCTTAGGATATATGGTTTGCAGATTATTTTCTCCCAGTTTGTAGCTTATCTTTTCAACCTCATTACATGGAGTTTTGCGGAGAAAATATTTTAAGTTTTGGTCCAATCTACCACTTTTTATTTTATGAGTTGTGCTTTTTTCATGGCAAGTCTAAAAACTCTTCAGCTAGCCCTAGGTCCAGAAGATTTTCTCCTTTTTTTTTTTTTTTTGGTCGTATAGCTTTATGCTTCATATTTCAGCCGATGATCCATTTGGAATCAATTCTTGTATAAAGCATGAAGTTTAAGGTCAATTTTTTTTGTTTATGGATGTCCACTTGCTCCAGGACCATTTGTTCTGTATTCTGCTTCACTGATCGATGTATCTATTCCTGAATAAATGCCACACCGCCTTGATTGCCATAGCTATTCAGTGATCCTTAATAGCAGCTAGAGTGATGTTTCCTATTTTGTTTTTCTTTGTCAAGATCGTTTCAGCTCTTCTAGGACCTAAGCCTTTCCATATAAACTTTGGAACAAACTTATCTAGTCCACAACATACCCAGCTGGGATTGTGATAGGAATTGCATCAAACCTATGAATCACTTTGGGGAGAACTGTCATGCTCACTATGTGGTGTCTTCTAGCCCGTGAACACAGTATGCTTCTTCATTTATTTAGCTCTTCTGTTTTGTTTGTTTTTTAGCCAGCACTTTGTAATTTTTTGGAATATGGCTTTTGTACATGCTTTGTTAGGTATATACCTAAATATTTCATATTCTTTGGACTTTCCTTATACTTTAAAAGCCCCCATGTACCAAACAAATATCATGTGTTAAGAAATCATCAATGTTTCACATTTTTTTAATTAACTTTACCAAAGTTCCACATACAGAGCTTCTGATTGGCACCCAGATAACTGATATATTGAGACCTGCTCTACGCTAGGCATTCCACTAGATTATTTTACTACAGCTTCTCTAGGCTATAATTCTGTGGGCAGAGGGGAATTGAATATGTCTTACTAACTATTGCATTTCTAATGTTCCTTATGCAGACCGTTACATAGTCAATGTTCAGTAAAAATACCTGTTGAAAGGATGAATAATGCACAATCTCAAACTGCAGCCTCTGAGAGGCCAGGAACTGTGTCTGGTGAATCCATTTTTGTGTTCATAGTACTTGGCTCAGTAAATATTTGCTGAATGAGTAAAGCAGGTGGTATGATTTTCATGTTTATGAAGAAGCAGAGGTCCAGAGAGGCTAAGGAAGGATATCAGAATTGGTGGGTGCCATGAATGAAGCACCTATTGTGTGCCTGATCCAGGTTAAGTGCTTTCAGCACAGTATCTCATCTAATCCTAATTGCCCTGCAAGGTGGGCGCTGTTAGTTTCTGTTGGGAATGTTACTCTCCTTACTCAGTGGCACATGCCCTGCCTTAGAATGGGTCTACTCAACTCCAAAGTCTTTTAGTTTACCACAAGGAGTTAATGTAGTTTCAGTTAAAAACAAAGAAAGTTCCCATTCTTGTCTTTTGTGGCTTCATTGTGCCTAAGTAGATGTGAGATTTCCATTAGATTTTCTGAATATCAAACATAATCATCTTCTCTCCTGCCCTTTCAACTCCAGGACTGTCCCAGGTTTGCACCTGGGGCACTTCATACAGTCTCCACTCCTTCCTGCCTCTTCTGCATATATATATATATATTTTAATTGAGACAGAGTTTTGCTCTTGTTACTCAGGCTGGAGTGCAATGGCACGATCTCGGCTCACCACAACCTCTGCCTCCTGGGATCAGGCAATTCTCCTGCCTCAGCCTCCTGAGTAGCTGGGATTACAGGCAGGCACCACCATGCCCAGCTAATTTTTTGTATTTTTAGTAGAGACCGGGTTTCACCATGTTGACCAGGATGGTCTCGATCTCTTGACCTCGTGATCCACCCGCCTCGGCCTCCCAAAGTGCTGGGATTACAGGCGTGAGCCTCCGCGCCAGGCCCCTTCTTCTGCATATCTTTATCATGATTACTGAAGGGGCTGCGTTGTCTGAGGTAAACACCCAGGGTTCGTCATCTCATGTAAGGAAAATTTACCACACGGACACACATAATAGGCAAAAGAGAAAGGAAAACAATTCTCTCTCTCTAATGAGAGAGAGAGAGAGAGAGGGGAGAGAGAGAGGGGAGAGGGGAGAGAGGGGAGAGAGAGAGAGAGAGAGAGGGGAGAGAGGAGAGAGAGGAGAGAGAGAGAGAGAGAGAGAGAGAGAGAGAGAGAGAGAGAGAGAGAGAGAGAGAGAGAGGACTTCTCAGAGGAAAAGACCAGCCAGTTGTGGATGCGCCAGAATTTTTCAGTTAGGCTTGAGGAGGTGGGGTCTTTGGTTCCATCAGGTATGACATTTACATAGCGAGTGTGGAAGGCAGCCACCCTACCCTAATCTTATTATGCAAATGAACTGTCCCCTTGGCTGGGGCTGTCTTGTCTGCTCCTTACTGTACACTTGGCAGACAAAGAGAAGGGAAGATGGAGCCGCCATCTTGAACATGATTGCCACAACTGTCAGCATCCATGTCTGCAGCTCGATTTTACAGGCTGCTCTTCGTTAGAAAGGAAAATAATTGGGGGCTGCTCTTCTTTAAAAGGAAAATTCAGGGCCGGGGGCGGGGGGTGGCTCATGCCTGTAATCCCAGCACTTTGGGAGGCCGAGGCGGGTGGATCACGAGGTCAAGAGATCGAGACCATCCTGGTCAACATGGTGAAACCCTGTCTCTACTCAAAATACAAAAAATTAGCTGGGCATGGTGGCGCGTGCCTGTAATCCCAGCTACTCAGGAGGCTGAGGCAGGAGAATTGCCTGAACCCAGGAGGCGGAGGTTGCAGTGAGCCGAGATCGCGCCATTGCACTCCAGTCTGGGTAACGAGAGCGAAACTCCACCTCAAAAAATAAAAAATAAAAAAAAAAAGGAAAATTCTACCGAGCACTTCTGCACCCTCACTATCTGACTAAGTAATTTCTTAACTCTTGTATTTGTATCATTCCATGTGCAACTAAGATATTT